GACCTGACTGTGGTGTTGCTAGAAAGCAAGAAGCGCCTACTGGTAGCTTCCTGCTACATGGCACACGATAGGCCAACTCCACCGGAAGAACTCAGGAGTCTGGTAGAACCCGGCCCAAAGGACCAGCCACTGATCGTACATACGGTTTCAATGAAAATTCATTGAGGGCAGCAAAGGGGCCCTAACAGCACTAATTCACGCGCACGTCTCAGGTTGCACAGAGATCAGCGATGCTTACAAGCACCAGGTACTAACAACCAGGGAAGAGCATCTTCCAAATGTTCTCATATCCTCTAGAAGAACTAACTGGGCCATAGACAGTCCCAAGGACTACAGGCCGATAAACCTCACCTCCTTTCTACGCAAGACGCTAGATAAGCTGCTGGACCTATACATCAGAAACAATGTGGGCAGATCACCGTCAACCAACCAGCACGCATATACAAGAGGGAAATCAGTGGAGACGGCGCTGCATTCGCTAGTAGCCACCATTGAGGGAGCCCTGCACAACAAGAAATATGCGCTCGGAGTCTTCGTAGACATATCCGGGGCATTCAATATTAAAAGCACAGATAGGATTTGGATAGGAAACCTACTAAGTTGCTGACGGGTACAACCAGATTGGGGCACCGCTTCCATGGTGAAAGGAGCGCACAGAGGCACGGCGCAAGGCGGAGTCCTATCCCTATTTCCCTCCTATGGAATCTAGTGGTCGACAACCTAATCAGAAGGTTCGAAAGAAAGGCCCTGAAGATAACAGCCTATGCTGATGACATAAGCATAATTTTCACGGGAGTTTGTCCTTCGACCCTTAGCCCGATCATGGCATCAACACTCAGGGAGATATGTGAGTGGACGGAAAAATTAGGACTCAGTATGAATGCAGATAAGACGGACCTTATTCTTTTCACAAAGAGATACAAGGTACCGCCATGGATACCCCCAAAAATAAATACAACCACACTGTACTAGAGAGGGTGAAAAACGCCACCATTGCTCTATATGCATCCAAGAAGATGGTCAGCAGCACATGGGGCTTCTCACCTGCGTCCGACACTGCTATACGGAGTCCTAATGTGGTGGCAAGCCATGGAAAAGAGGACCTACAAAAAGCTTATGGAGAAAACCCAGCGGCAGGCACTGCTCAGTATATCTGGGGCGCTGAGGTCAACCCCCACAAAATCTTTAGAGACTATAATTGGAATCAATCCCCTGGACATCCACGCGCAACTGACCGCTGGAAAGGCAGCACAACGCCTAGTAGCGCTAGGAAACATGTCGACACAAGGATATGGGCACAGCTTAATTGGTCGAACCATGAGTAGTGTATCTGACTACATGACGCCTAGAACTTGCCTTGATGTGAAAACATCAACATTCATTTAACCTGAAGACTGAAAAACGGTTCAGGACCATGCTCGATACCTCAACATATACACTAACGGCTACAAGATGGAAGGAGGAGTTGGAGCGGGCATATACTGTACAGACCCCGAGACGAGGTTGTCATATAAGCTACCAGGCCAATGCAGCATATTCCAGGCGGAAGTCTTCGTCATCAGGAAGGCGGCAGAGCTTGCGCAGGAAATAGCCCGCCCATGTGAGGCGGTAAACCTGTTCGTAGACAGTCAGGGAGCGATTAGATCCATGCAATCGTCAGCGGTCAGTTCCAAAAATGTACTGGCAAGCAGGGACGCACTAGATATCCTGAGCACGACAATGTCAGTGTGAATCTACTGGGTTCCCAGCCACCAGGGCATAGAGGGAAACGAAATCGCAGAGGATCTTGCAAAGTAAGGGCGGACTGGCTATAGATAGAACAGAAAACGTCCCAGTTTCTCTAAGAACGCTTCAAAGCGAGTTGGAGACTCCGCAACCTGCAAAACATCTCAAATCATGTGCAAAGAGCGCAGCCCTAACGCAGGCAAGAGTAAAACACCTATAGGTGCTCCAGCACTGCCATCACTAGCAGATGCTTCCAAGAGGTCGCCAAGTGAACTACTTGCTTGCGCAAAAACTACGGCGGTCCTAAGGGACTTTAACACCGCGTAAGATTCTCCAGGTTCATGTAAAACACAATACGGATAAATAAGGGCCATAGTGGCCTATGATTATCCCCCTCAGGAGGGCCGTCCGGTTCAACCTAACCTAACCTAACCTTCCTTTTCCTTGTACCTAAACCTTTTCCATCGAAACCTGTTTATAAACTTTTTCCATCTAATCCTGTACCTAAACTTTTTCCATTTAACTTTCATTTTTAAAGATTCCAAATTAATTTTTAAATTGCAAGTTTCCATAAAACCTCCGCCCAGCACAACATTAAAGAGCATTGAATCGTCAGCCACAACAGTTAAATTAAACAAAATCTTTATTTCTTCTTTCATAATGAAATATAACATTTTTCCATATTCCCATATTCATAGTCTACTCTTATTCAATCCATAATGTGGTTCTCTTGAGGGTCTAATCCAATTTGGGTACTTAATAATGTTTTATAAAAGATACTGGGTTTACTGAATCGATCAAGCATTCTGTAATAATTGGCTGGTTAGAGTTTCCATAAACAAAAATTTTGAATAGTCTTACATTGTTCTTCTTGTTTTTGGGGCATTTTCCGACGAAATAATCTATCGGCCCATATCCATGGCAAGACCCAGGGGTCTTCTTAGGTTTAGTACACGCTCTTCCCCAGTGCCCGTTGCAGTTATAGCAACGAGTCTCCTTGACATTTTCTTTCCTTCAGGAGCAACCTTATGTTTGCAAACGATTTAAGCATCCGTCCAGGGTTTTCAAAACAATGCAGTTTGTCCTGGTTTCGTTATTTTAGGGCCTGAATTTTGGCAATAAGACTTTTATGTCCAAATCCATTTTTGTCGTATAGTTTATGCTCAAAGGAAAATTTTTTCTCGATCCCACTTCTAAGATTGTGACCGAATGTTAATGTTAATAACTTTATTTTATTAATTGTTTTATTCATTTCCATATTGTTTTAAAATAATGGTTTTTACTTTTGTCTGTTCTTCTCTTCATAAAGGCGCTTCCTCGAGAGAGTAACATGCTCTTTCGAAAGAGCGCGCCTCAACTCATAGTGTGACCATAGCCTAATTATATTAATAGGACCGTTACAAATTGAAATCATTAAAATAAAAGTATGGTCAGGGTAAAACTGTTAGCGACCGCTAAAAAGTTTTTTCTATTCACCACTTCTTCGTAACTTTTGAAGGGGAAATGTTGTTGACCCGCCTCTTTTGAAACTTAAGACCATTTTCACATTAATGACGAACAGCCGTTTTCAACTATTTGCCTCTCGCTCTCTCTCACTGTGTGAAAACGGTTATTGTCTCTTTCCATACCGTGCTTAAGTTTGCCTGTTGCATGTGTATCAAAAGTATGTATCTTTACTTTATGAACCTGATTTTTCTAAGTGCACTTACAAAATATGTACTGTTCTAATTCACCTATTTATTTTTTCTTTATTTTTATTTATTTTTTCTTGTTCTTTCTTATTCTGGTTTTAACAGAGAGCCACCGCCAGATAGCAGCTGATTGAACTGCTGTGGCTCATCAAAATACTATCAAATTATTGAAGACTTCTAGGACCTATAAAGAATAGTTTACCAACTATTTTGGCTAAAGAATGTAGATAACGCCGAATTAAAGATTCTTCAATGTTTTTTCTCTACCAAAAAGTAAATCCAAATCTTTTAATCAATTTAAGGGTAAAACTATTTCTCTTTTTCCTAGATTTTAGGCTTTTTGGAAATGTTTCGGTCATAATTTGTTGACCCGGCTACATTGTTGCCAATGTAGCTATTTTCCCACTTGATCTGGCGTTTTTCAAAACCTAAATGCGGGATTAATTGTGATCTAGCGGCTAGCGGGAATTATAGCTATTTTTCAAGCAAAAAATGCGTAATTTGAGCTTTTTAAGAACCTGTGCCAACTTCATGTATTTTTATGTTTTACGATGCCCAGGAGAAGAGCAAAAGGAAAGCAACATTTTAGCAGCATAGAGTGGGCGATAGTGAGAACGAGACGCCATATTGGCGTTTTAAAAGCAGGAGAAGAAAAACGAACCCGTAAAGGGGTGGGAGCTAAAGGAATTTCATATTTAGCCCGTGCATGCTGTTGTCGTTTTAGTAAGAAGCTTAAAACGCTGTGAAGGAGTCATTTCCAACCATATAAGTCATATATATTATTGATCAGCAAGAAAAAGGGAATCTTTCTGGGCATATAGGAAAGAACAAAAATTTTGATACATTTTTTTTTCAAAAATTTTCTTGTTAAAATGAACATTTAACACTTTGAAAAATTGACAAAATTTTAAATATTTTAAAATTTTAATTTGACTATGCAGACTTATAAAATTATTAAAAACTACTACATAACTGATTTCCGTATCGAAATTAATGGAGTTTTGGCTTAGTTATGAGATTTTTGAGCTTCGATTTGCCGAAAAAATTCTCATATATATATCCGTACAAAGAATGCGTAATTATTTTTAAATATAGTGTCAAAGTATATTTTTATAATTATTGAATTTTTCCTAAACTTCTCGAAATAAAAATATGAAAAAATTCAAATTCAGCTGCAGAAGAGGAGATAATTGAAAAACTTGATATGTTGGCAAAAATACTTAAATAATTAATAAAAAATATTGTTTCAGTACTCTAGCGTTATTTTTTAGCTATCATTAAAATTTTCTAGCTATTTCTAGCTTTTTTAAGAGTTGGTTTAGCTTTTTCATGACCTGAAGAGTTGACAACACTGCCCGGCTACTTAAGACACGTTTAACATAGAGGTGGAGAACTATCGATAGTCGTCGCCATCGATAGTGAGCGATTATTTTTCTCAAACCATCGATAGTGTCGATAGTACTATCGGTAGTGTTATGCTTTTGAATTTTAGATGTAAAAAAAGCTATAAAATGAAATTTGAACAAAACTTTATTATATTTTTAACTCTTTAAAAATAAAAAATTAATTTATTTATTTATTTTTTTGATTAGGGATTGTATAAAAAGTACATCGTCGAACTGTGTATTCGAGCGGAAAAGAAGTACAAAACTAATTCTTTTTTAAAAAGAGCATTAGGAGATTTTTACTTTCAGCTATACTTTAGCTTTTCACTATATTTTGGCGTTCCACTTTCAACTTTATTTTTTCTGTGATGTGATAAGCCGCGTGCAAAACTATCGATAGTGCAGGGCTGCCATCGATGGCGGTGCGATAGCGCCAAACAATCGATAGTGTCGATAGTGCCATCGATAGCTCTCCACCTCTAGTTTAACATTTAATGCTTGGTTTTTGGTTAATATTTGATTGCATTGGCATGCATTCTAGCGGTCGTGCCTCCCTTGGACACCTCCCAGACGTCTTAATAAGACAGCTTTGTGTACAAGGAACTCGGATGATTCGACACATGTGGATCGAATTCCAGTATGTATATGAAAGTTTCTGGAGCATATATGTAGATCTTTAAGATCGGTAAGTCGAGCTATGAAGTTATCCCAATTTGTCCTTGCTGGCATATATCTTTCAAATTTATATTTCTCTTCAAGGTTCTTATCTTCCTTATAAAATAATAAATATGCCAACAGCCGATATATTGTATTTACCTTTACTAATTTAATTATATTAACAGTATCAGCTCTTCTGAACTTCTGAATTCATCTTTTCCGCACTTTCCTGTTCAAGGCGGGACTTATAATTTAAAATATGAAAAGGAGCTGCAAGTGAGAGCGAGAGGCATATGGTCGGGATTTTATACCCTTGCAGGGTATAGTCTTCTACATATATACTCTCACTCGTATATGTGTCGGAACGGGCCGGATCGGACGACTATATCATATAGCTGCCATAGGAATAATCGGAACATTTTTACAAAAAAAATTATAACATTTTTAGTTTTCAACAGAATTTGATCAAATTTGAGATAAAGCCATTTCATATTATTCTACAATTTTGTGTAAAATTTGATGAAAATCGGACGACTATATCATATAGCTCCCATAAGAACGATCGAGAAATTAATTCAATTAAAAGGTATAACATTGTCAGTTTTCAACAGATTTTCATCAAATTCGAGATATAGCCGTTTCATATTATTCTACAATTTTGTGTAAAATTTTATGAAAATCGGACTAATATATCATATAGCTCACATAGGAACGATCGAGAAATTTGAGAGGAATGAGAATGGCGGTGGCTGTTGTCGGAAGACTGTCAATCGCGGTGGCGATAACATTTTTAGTTTTCAACAGAATTTAATCAAATTTGAGATATAGCCAATTCATATTATTCTACAATTTTGTGTAAAATTTTATCAAAATTGGACGACTATATCATATAGCTCTTATAGGAACGATCGAGAAATTAATTCAATTAAAAACTATAACATTTTCAGTTTTCAACAGATTTTCATCAAATTTGATACATAGCCATTTTATAAGAAATAAAGGAAGTTAATAAAATTAAAGATTATAACTTCTTCAGTTTTCACCAGATTTTCATCAAATATCATTTTATTTTAATCTAAATTTTGTGTAAAGTTATAAAAAAAAACCGGACTACTATATCACGAACGATCAAAAAATGAATACAATTAAAAATTATAACGTTTTAAGTTTTCAGCAGATTTTCATTAAATTTGAAATATAGCCATTTTATATCAGTCTTAAATTTTGTTGCAAATTTTATGAAAATCGGACGACTATATCACATACATATGTAGGTGCCATACAAACGATCGTTAGATGTGGAGCAAAAATGCAAATCTGTGAATGTAAAACTGAAAATATAATATGTATGTATAGGTGAATGAAATGAGAGCAGGTATTACTTCATTGTTTTTTTTTTAACATTAATATATATATTTTATATTGTATGGAAGGAATCCAGGAAGTCATCGAAGTTCTATGTGCAAGGGTATATAAACTTCGGCGTGCCGAAGTTAGCTTCCTTTCTTGTTTTTTTTTAATTTTTATTCTATTTGCAAGAAGTTTGAAAAATAATAAAAGTGTGCCGTCGGGAATCTTCTAACTCCATCCAACTTACTAGTATTTTTAATTTCGTGTTTTCGCACAGGCCTTTAAAACGGCCTCCCTTTACCTCGCTTTCTCTCACTGCTTGCAAACTGAGTTTTACCCGCCGACGACTTGTTTGGGTATTCTTGTTGCTTAGGCACCATCTTTATTTTACTAGCTCCCTATCATCTTTGTTTACGTTTTCCAGTGAATGCCAAAAATGGTAAACGAATTTGGATGGAAAGCAAACAGAACAAATATTGGAGCATATTATTATTATATATTTATTTATATATATATATTTATTATTATATATTTTATTTATTATTATATTTTTATCATTAGGAAACGAATATCTAATAGTAAAGTCTTTCTTTTCTATTATGAATTTTAATATATTTAAAAATAAATAAATATTGCAAATCCATTACCTATCTTTCTTCAAATACGACCTGAAACCTAATCAAATTGCGTTACAATTTGTCATATGTTTTAAAACACAATTTCAGCTTTTTAATCTTTGAACACTTAATTTCCTTTTAAATATGTATGTGTACTCAATGTACATATGGAGGCAAACTTTAGGAACGTAGTTTATATAATAGGTCCCGCACTATGACGCGAAACCATTGCCATAAACGTCTCATGAATAAAATATTGTTTGAATCTCCTACATGACTTGTTAGGATTTTTTCAATGATCGGGGAAGCGAAAACTTCAGGTACTGAATCTCTCGCTTACCACGTGAGGAATAAAAAATTACTTCGCTATATCTCGCCGTATATCGCTGTCCAACTGTCTGAGAAGAGAAAAACTAGAATAAGAGAGGTTCAGAGAGGCCTAAAAGATACAAAGACTTGGCCCACTCAGTTCTTGGACGACAGATGACCGTGTTGGTAGTGGCTTGCGGATGGTGGTGCTTTAGACGGGAAACCGTGAATTGAAACCGTGTGACACTACGGGCCTTCGTGATATACAATACAGCGTGCAGCTCGTAAAATACAAAGATAGCACCAAGAAAGCAAGGTGAAATGACAAATAAATATGGCTCGAAAAGAAATTAGCAGAGCTCAAGGGAATACCCACATAACTGAAATGAGTTAAGCGAAAGAAAAAACGAGAAATTGTACATTGTTGTAAAAAGTGTAAAAATGTATATCGACAAAAATCTTCAAATGCACGAAAATGCAAGATCTAAAACAAAGTATCCAAGAGTACAATATTAACAAAGGTTTGTTTAAAACATTTTCATTACCTATATTCATATGTATGTAATTAAAAAAGAAATCAAATCAAATCAAAGTTACGGTTGTGTTTTTGGGAAACAATTTCCACTCCTCTAGAGCATACAATTATAAGTATAACATACATTGAAAACTGTTAAAACCAGTTTTCAGTCAAGCAGGCCAAGCAACAAAGGCAAAAAGAAGATATTTCAACTAAGAAATAGAGAGAAACGTTCGTTGAGCTAAATATTAAGCCGGCAACGGATCTGAACATCGCAAAAATCTCCAATGCCCCTTTTTGGTTAATTGAAATAGAAAGAAAAACAAAAAACATATAACATATAAAATAATTTTTAAATGATTTACAATAAGTTTGAAGAAGAAAAAACAGATGAGAAATAACACAAACCCAAAAGGAAATTTGCTGATCTGAGTGTTTCTAAAAGAAAGGCTGCGGAAAATTGTTTTTTTTTATACCCTTGCAGGGTATTATAATTTCAGTCAGAAGTTTGCAACGCAGTGAAGGAGGCACCTCCGACTATATAAAGTATATATATTCTTGATCAGGATCAACAGCCGAGTCGATCTAGCCATGTCCGTCTGTCCGTTTCTACGCAAACTACTCTCTCAGTTTTGAAGCTATCTGAATGAAACTTTTTAGTTAGCCTTCTATATACTCTCACTCGTATATATGTCGGAACGGGACGGATCGGACGACTATATAATATAGCTGCCATAGAAATGATCGGAAAATTTTTACAAAGAAAATTTTAACTTTTTCAGTTTGCAATAGAATTGGATCAAATTTGAGACTATTTTACTATACTCTACAATTTTGCATAAAATTTTATGAAAATCGGACTACTATATCATATAGCTCCCATAGGAACGATCGAGAAATTAATACAATTAAATTTATAACTTTTTCAGTTTTCAGCTGATTTTCATCAAACTTGAGGTATAGCCATTTTATATTAGTCTTAAATTTTGTGTCAAATTTCATGAAAAATGGACGACTATATCATATAGGTGCCATACAAACGATCGTTTGATGTAGAGGAAAAATACAAATCTGTGAATGCAAAACTGCAAATATAATATGTATAGGTGAATGAAATGAAATCAGGTATTACTTCATTGTTTTTTAACACAAATATATATAATTTATATTGTATGGATTCCTATTCATAGAAGTTCTATCTGCAAGGGTATTTAAACTTCGGCGTGCAAAAGTTAGCTTCCTTTCTTGTTTTTTTTTTTATTTTAGTCTAATTTATTATTCTTAGAAAGATTTCTGTTGCCGGAACTTAGATGTTATTCCTTAAGAGTCAATTGAAATGACTCGCTTAATTTATATTTCGGCATGACCCTGGGCAATAAAGAAGCTGTGCTTTAACAATATCGAATGAGCAAACAATTTGAATTTATAAGGTCTAACCCAAATCTTTTTATAGACCCAACACCCAAATAATAAAAAGATAGTCGAAAATGAATTTAACAATTAGAACAGAATCGGTTAAGGCACGTTTGTCTGTCCGTCCGTGTGAGTCAAAAGATCCCAGAGACTGTAAAACATTAATATCCATGCACGTAAATTAAGTTTTTCTTTTTTATAAATTTATTTTGTATTTCTGCAGCGACTTGGTGCTGCATTGATTTTATTAGTACACGTCACTGTAAATAAATAGATGAAATTATTAAAAAATATATTTATTTAAAAATAATCATTAAATGGTAAAATAAATAAATAAAGTAAAAACTTGATTTGAGAATTGCTTTGTTTTTTACCTTGACTAGGATTCTATAAAATTTATTGGGGTAGGTCTTGATTTTTTTGACAATTTTATTTATTGGTAATATAAAACAAACAAGAAGGGAAGCTCACTAGGGTCGACGTTTGTAAACCCTGGCAGATTGCAATTCGATCATAAATAGTTAATATAATATAAATCATATATATTTCTTTTAAAAGACAACAATATAATTCGTCTTTTAATTACATTTACCCATACATAATATATTTACAGTTTTACATTCACAAATAGGCATTTTCTCAAGATTTAACGATCGTTTCTTTGACAGCCATATATTCAGTTTCTCGGCTGTCGTAAATTTTTTTAAAATTTATAGAAATTTCTGAAATAATGTAAAAGAGATATACTTCAAACTTGACTAAAATATATTGAATATATATTTATATACATATATAATATATACATCGTCGCACAGCAATCGG